CCGTGGCATGGGTACACAACGGTAACCTTGGTGATTTGGCCAAGGTAATTAAATCCTGATGGCAGCAAGTGTATGTTAAGCTCAGAAATGTTTCATTTGCTATATTTCTATTCTTAGGGTTGGACAGATCTCTGGGTTGCTGTAAATAACAAGGGACAAAATGAAGCTACTTTACATTTATATTACATGCAGTAAAGATGTATACAAATGTATATAGGCACATATGCACGCAGGCACACATGTATATGTGTGTGTGTGTGTGTATGCATACATTTATGTGTATATATACCTGTGTATATATATACACATCTATATGTAATATGCATGCAGGTGTATGTATGTATGCATATATGTATATATGTAAGTATATATGTATTTCCAGGAGTGAAAGGTGCCTCATTTAGCCATTCTTATGAGATGCTAATTCATATAATAATATTTTGAGCTGGAAGGGACTTTACAGCTCATCAACTCTAGCCCCTCATTTTACCTATGATGCGACTGAGGTACAGAGAGATTAAATAACTTGTCTAGGGTCAAACTGCTAATAAATGTCTGATTCAGGATTTGAATTCCATTCTTCTTGGCTTTGAATCCAGTATCTCATTCATCTAGATGGCTCATTAATTCTTATTAAAGCAGACAAACTCGAGAACTGGAGAGGCTATTCACTCCAGCCTATTTTTGAGTAGCAATCTCCTCCATACACCATGCCTGAGAGAATTCTCCAACTTGCATGAAGACCTAGAGATAGTGAGGAACTGACTACCTCAGCCGTGGCCCTAAGCAGTGGGAAGTTTGTCCACATACTGAGCTAAAATCTGCCTCTTTTAAACTTCATCTTCTTGCTCCCAGTTCTGCTTCTCGATGTGTCTCTAGAGCCCAATTCAAACAAGTCCAAATGCTTTTAAAAATTAACAAGCATTTTTATTTTTCCTCTTCTCATCTGCTGAAAAGAAAGAAAAAAAGAAGGAAGGAAAAAGAGAGAGAGAGAGAGAGAGAGAGAGAGAGAGAGAGAGAGAGAGAGAGAGAGGAAGGAAAGAAGGAAGGAGGGAAGGGATGGAGGAAGGAAGGAAGGAATGAGTGAAGACCTATAATACAAAACACGGCCATTTAAAACAAATTTTCATACTGGTTATCTCCAAAAAAGCATTTCCTGTTTTGCATGCTGGTCCATTCTCTTTCTGTCATAGGCAGTGTTCTTTATCAGTCCTCTGGAATCATGGTTAATCATTTCATTGATCAGAGTTTTCCTTCAAAATTGTTTTTATAATATTAATATTCTGGACTAACTTTTCTGAAGGTATAATATAAATTATTCTCTTGGTTATGCTCTCTTCACTTTGTACTTTGTATCCGTTCATACTATGAGCCTTTCCATATCTCTTTGTAACCATCTTTTTCTTCATTTCTTACAGCACAATAGTATTACATGACTTCCACATGATAGCTGTTCATACAGTCATTCAATGAAGGTAATAATAGTAATAGCTAGTAACTACATAGTGCTTCAAGGTTTATGAAGCACTTGAGATGCTATCTTATTTGACAACCCATGAGGTGGATGCTATTATCATCCCCATTTTACAGATGAGGAAACTGAGGCAGTCAAAGGTTAAGTGACTTGCCCAGGATCATGCAGATAGTAAATGTCTGAGGTGGGATTTGAATTAATATCTTCCTGATTTCAAATCCAACACTCATCCACTGTGCCACTTAGAAAATGGCTTAAGCATTTACCACATGCAAAACCCTTTGAAAACACTAATTGAGTTTTACTGCCTCAAGCTTTTTCTACTACATGTTACGCAACCCCAGTTCCTCTAACTAACCTCATATGGCATCAATCTGAGTGTTATCACCATTGTAGGTTCCCTCTGTAGGACGTGCTTCAGCTTGTCAAGGTCTTTCCTAAATGTGCTACAAGGAATTGACCAAGATAGGATGACCACCCCCTCTGTCCCAGATATCATACATCTGTCATTTAATCATTTTCAATCTTGTCCAACTCTTCATGACCCCATTTGGGGTTTTCTTGGCAAAGCTACTACAGTGGTTTGCCATTTCCTTCTCCAGCTCATTTTGCAGAGGAGGAAACTGAGGTAAATGGTGTTAAGTGATTTGCCCAGGGTCACACAGCTAGTAAGTGTCTGAGGCTGGATTTGAACTCAGGTTTTCCTGAATCCAGGTCTGGCACTCTATCCACTGAGCCACCTAGCTGCCCCTGTGTCTATTAGGGTAGGCTAAAATTGTATTGACTTGTCTTCCACGTCACACTCTTTACTCATGGTGACCTAGTAACTCTTGTCTGAACTCATATCTTTACTCTTCTCCCTTTTTACCATAGTAAGCAAGGCCTGCTGTTCTGCACTAACTTTTCTGAAGGTATATGAATATATATACATCTCTCTCTCTCTCTCTCTCTCTCTCTCTCTCTCTCTCTCTCTCTCTCTATATATATATATATATATATATATATATATATACATACATAGATAGATAGATAGATAGATATATCTATATATATCTATCTATATATCTATATCTATATCTATATATCTATATCACTGTCTAACATGAACTGATGCTTTTCAAAATTCAAGTTCAACATTTTAACCACTGTGTCAGGCTGCTTCTCTCTTCCAGAACTATTTAATATTAAATATTAAACACTCAGCACTAGGGAGGGAGGAACAGTAGAAAGAAGGAGGAAACCTCAGCTCAAATTCAGTCTATGATATAGTACATGTAAAACCTGGGGCAAATCACTTAAATTCGGGGAGGCTCTAGGCAAGTCTCTTAGATTACACTACATTGTTAGAACAGTTGCCAACCTGTACTTATGGAAAAAATTTTTATACCCAGATGAAACCACAGGTCTAGGTGACCTGTATCTCTCCCTACACACTTCATCCCCTCTTTGACACTCATAAACCCACACCTGATATACTGGTAAAACAAAATAAAAACCAACCAAACAAAAAACATAACCCTCTTTTCCACAAGAACTGCATGTTCTTATATATGAAACTCACAATGGAGAAATACAGAAATGTCTTGACCTCTCTCATCTCAAAGTAGCTGAGAAAAATAATACCTATAATTAGGATTAATTGATGTAAAATGCATAATGCCTATAATTAGCTAAGGCTTCATTGTGTCCCCACCCAAAGTTTTACCTTTATGTTCTTAAAGACCTGAAAATGATCCCTATTTTCATTTCTGGTGGAAAATTTAAGAAACATATGAACAATAGTGTAAATAACAATAGGTAATCCATCATCTGAACCAGGAAATTACATTATCTCTTAAGTCCTCACAAAGAAGCTATTTTTCTTCAAACTGCTATTAATTCAAGCTGGATTATCTTTTGGGGAAAAATTCAATTTCTCTTGTACAAATCAACCCAATACAATAGGACACCCTGACTGGAACCCTGAGGAACAGTTATTCTTTGGTGGAAACATCCCCTGTCTTCTTCTGAGAATGTTTCCTGTCTTTTACAAGATTAACTTTGTTCAATAGTATGCCATTAAAAGTTCCGTGTGATGGGATTTCATGGGAGGAAAGAACAAAGATACAGGAAACCTAGATTCAAGCCTTGACTTTGCCATAATTTTAGGGGAGATCTTGAGCATATCATCCTTTTATCTTTCTGAGCCTCAGTTGTTCCATCTGTAAAATGTAAATAAGGATTTACCCCTTAAAAAGGGGGTGCGGTGTGTCATCAATAAATATTTATTAAATGCCTTAAGAGAAAAATAACATAGATATAGAATGCACCATCATTGTCACTAAATCTTACCAGTTGTCTCCTTAAAAAAAACAAACAAACCAGAACCCTAATTTAATTCCTCATTACCACAGAAGGCAATAGGATACCATAGAAAGAGGCATTCCATCTCTTTGGGCCCCAGTATCCTGATCTGCCAAACTGGAGGGTGTAGGATGGCTTAGACGGCTTTAATGTCCCTTGACTCTAAATTCATGATACTATGATCCTCCTTCTCATCACTTTTCATCCACATACATGAATGTTTACTCCTGGTGAGCAGGAATGGTTTCATTCACTGTCTCTATGACCCCAGTATCTGGCCCAAAGCCTGACATACAGGAAGCACCGAATAAAGACTTGTTGACTGGTCAATGCCTTGTCTTCTTCCATTAGACTTTAAGTTCTGAAGCTTAATGATCTTTCTAATTCTCTAAGCCTGTAAGTTGTAGAGAAGATCTTGTGTTAGGAGCTCCTAACACCAATAAAATCACAGGTCCAGTCTCTTTCCCTACCTCTCCTGGTACTTAGCACAGTTTATTTTAATATTTGTTTAGTGTTTGCTGAATGAATAAACCCCTGACACATAGTAGGTACTATATAAATGCTATTAATAATAATAATAATGATGATACAGAGAGCTATTGTTGGAATCAAGAAGACCTGGCGTGTAGGTGCAGCCTCTAACACATATGGACTGTGTGATCCTAGGAAAGATGCTTAAGAACTTCTCAGGGCCCTTGATTGTTCTAAGATGGAAAGTTGCAGAAGAGGTGCCATTCTGTACTAGTAGGGAGAACTTCTTCATTAGGAATTCCCTATACCAAAGACATCACTGATGAGGTCCCCCTCCTCCCAAAACAAAACAGAGCAATAACCCAGGGAGTTCACCCTATAGATGGTATACATCCTAGTTATTCCACTGCTCAGATATTTGGAGCCCATTCAAAGGGCTGCAGGCTCTGTTAAAGTTTTTCCAACCAACCTTAAAGAAAATACAGACACGCTAATTGCTTAGAAATAATTCAATTTCATGAGTAAAATATCCATTTCACCAACCACCTTTCTGTTACAATGCCATTATCTTTTGTATTCTCTTCTTTCTTTTGGAGTATCTGGCCATCACTATACAAGTGCCCTGTCTTCATTTTCAAATTTATCTGTCTGTTTCAACATTTTGCTCTGGATTGTGCTTTAGTAATCAATTTAAAATGCGAGCAAAACTTACTTTCTTGTATTGCATTAAGAATTTCTGAAAAGTCCACATCACTCTTTGGGCCGTCAGTCTGCATTGGCATATCCAGTGGGTAACCTTGCAAATCCACCCGGCCTTCTAAAGAAATGGAAAACACGCATGGAGTTTGCAGTTGTTCCTCAGAGAGCCCAAGAGAGCCCAAGAGAGCATTTGGACTCCAAAGAGAAGCAAGTCAATCAAAAAAAAAAAGTGGGCTGGTTTCTAATGCCAAGGGCCCTCTCTAAGAGGTGACTTTATTTTCTTCCCTTTTTAAATCTACAGCACATTTACTCTCATTGAGGCTAAGGGCAAAAACTGTCTTCTTATAGTGAAAATATAGGTATGATTTAATCCCTAGGCCACCCACTTTATGAACTCAATTGTCACACTGCTTGGTATTTTCCTGTGGCAGTGAATACAGCAGGTTGGTGTTCATAAGGCAGTCAGGGATTACTGGTGCTAAAAAGGCAATCAGCACTTAATTGCTGAACAGCAACTTCTTTGTTTTTAGTTAGTGATTCAATAACCATAAAAATAAACCAAAACAAAGATCAATTGAAATTGTATGAATCACAGAATTTCAGAGTTGGAAAGGAGTTCTGAAGCCATCTAGTTCCATTTGTACTTTAAAAGCATCTCCTTTCAAATATTCCAAGCGATCCTACTTGAAGAAGCACAGTGAGGAAAAAACCACTTCCTCCTGAGGCAGTCCGTTCCACTTTAGGGACAGCTGTGATTGTTAGACTGTTCTTCTTTACACTTAGCTTGGAGACAGAATGGCATAGTAGATAGGGTACCAGATACAGATTCAATAAGAACTGAGTTCAAATGCTGCTTCAGGATTCTTGTTAGCTGGGTGACCCTGAGTAAGACATTTAACTCCTCTGTGCCTCAGTTTCTTCATCTGGAAAAAAATGAGGATATTGCCTTTATAAGGATCCTTCTAGCTTTAAACCTATGACCCCAAATTTGTTTTAATAATATTTCTAACCACTGCTACTAATTTTGTCTTTCGGGCCAACCAGAAGTCATCTGATCATTATTCTATATGTTGCAACATGACCACTCACCTCAACATAATTTAGCATTCAGTTCAGTAAGAGGCTTTGTTTTGTACATTGCTACAAGCCAAGACATGAAGAAGCAGCATCTGTACATGCAAATGGACTTCTCAATACAACTAATTTCCCAGAGACATGAAGAAAATCCAATCATACAACTGGTGAGGCTTTGGCCTTGGGGGCATCTTGTTGAGTTACCAGGGAAAGGAGGTAGAGGCTTTCTCATATGCTAGCCTGGTGATAGCCTCAGGATTTCATGAGAGGACAGACTGTTTTTTGGGTGTCTTTGCTCAAGAACTAGGGTAAAGGAAAGCAAAATAGGAATTAGACATGACTGCTATTTTCTCTTTCTTTCTTTCCTTCTTCTTTTTTTTTCTTACTGAATTCCAAAAAATACCATCACTCAGGTCAAGAAAGAAAAAATATGACACTCAGCCCTCTCTCTCTGTCTTCTACCACACATGCTCTTTGGATATTGGAAGAGAACCATCATTTTCTCCTGAATCTTTCTGGGGAGGCAAGATGGGTCCATGGAAAGAATATTAACGTTGAAGTTAGGAGACTCAAGTTAAAAAACTACCACTACTTCTTATTGTCTGTGTGATAACAAGTCATTTAAACTCCCTGGGTCTCAGTTTTCTTATCCATAAAATGAGAAAGTTGCACTGGATGGTCTCTTCCTGCTCAAAATGTATTATCCTCTCCTCCAGCCTAAACATCCACAATATTAGATAACATATGCATTCAGCTGTTAACAGCAAAAGGATGGGAATCAAGACCATGTAACTTATTATTGACTTTAAATGGGATTATTGAATATTTAATCATATGCAACAAAGGAGATGGAGGCAGTCTGGTGCAGTGAGGAGAGTGCTGGGCATATATTGTCAGAAGACTTGGGTTCAAATTCCACCTCTGACACTTACTAGTTGAGTGATTCTGGTGAACTTGTCATCTCTCTGTTTCTTTCTTTTCAAAATTTTTTTTTATTTTTAGGCAATTGGGGTTAAGTGACTTGCCCAGGGTCACACAGCTAGTAAGTATCAAGTGTTTGGTCTGAGGCCACGTTTGAACTCAGATCCTTCTGACTTCAGGGCTGGTACTCTATTCACTTCGCCACCTAGCTGCCCCCTAACTCTCTGTTTCTTAAGCAACTCTGTAAAATTTATCTCCTGAGTCATAGATGGTTAACTGAGTATGGGTGGTGAAAGGAGTTCTCACACCAGGAGTTCCTTACTGTGATGAAATCCAAACTCCTTGTTTGTGTAATAAGGGAAATAGAGTATGCCATTCCAATGGCACAAGACTTTGTCCAGACCCCTACCATATGTTTGTCTTAGGGGTCTGGTTTAAAACGGGATCCAACTTTTTTTTTTCCTATTAAGTGATTTCTAGCATCTCAGATAAGCAAGAGAAAAAAAATGTTCACAGGAAGCAGACCTGACATTGTAAAAGTGCTTCAAGAACTATTGAAAGTGACAGATGAGGGATTTCTACTGTGTCAGTGACCTAGCATGGCCAAACTTCAGGGCTGAAATAAGAACTATCCGGCATTAAGAATGAATGGGTGAATGCCCTTACGTCTAACATCTTTGCTTTTAGCCTCCTTGTTATAAAGCCAGCCTTTCTTTGGACTTCCTAATCAGGCACTCATCACTGAAGCCCAGACTAACAGCTGCTGGCTGCTGTTGGCACAGAGTAATCCTGTGTGCCACTCCACATGAGGCTGTTTCCACAGAGGTCAAGCGACCTTTATGCTTCCCAGTGAAAAATCTTGCCGGAAAATGCTCAGGAAAATTCCTGCTTTGATTACATAAGTTGATTGTATTAAACATAAAGAAGCTGAACATGATTTTTATTTTTTAAAATATTGGGTTTTCAGCATTTGCATTTGAACATATTAGCAATGAGAGACAAGTAGGTTGCTTGCATTAAACAACCATTTGGTGCTACTGTTTCAGAGTTTCTTCATTCCAAATTAATAGAATTTGAATATTTTTAAAGTAAATAAAGCAAACTTTTGAAATAACACATATGCCCATTATCTAGGCAGAAGAGTCATTTTTTAAAAATTGTCTAGTCATAAATGGATAGTTAGATTGATTTCAAAATCTACTTAATCGTACAATTCAATCTATACATTTGAAAGATGAGAGTATGATGCCATGGATTCAGGACTGATTAAATGATAGTAATCCCTTCATTACCCTGGCAAGTGTTAGAATACAACCAACTTAAGGGAAATCTCTCATGGAGTGACCCAGGGATCTCTCCTTGGTATTGTGTTGACCAATATATATATTTTTTTAATATCAATAACCTGGATGAAGGCAGAGGTGCCATGCTTATCAAATTTGCAAATGACACAAAATTGAGAGGGATGGTTAATGTACTGGATGGCAAAGTCAGTTTTCAGAAAGATCTCAATAGGCTGAAGCAACCGGCTAAATCTAAGATGAAATTTAATTGCGATAAATGTCCAGGTTCCACTCTACCTTCCTACCCTCATACTCAATAATTCCAGAAGCTTCCTGTGACCTCTATGGTCAAATATCAGATCTTCTGGCATTTGAAGATCTTCACAACCCACCCTCTTCTTACCTTTCCAGTCTTTTTACATCGACTCCTCTCCACTAACACTAACTTTGTGATCAAAACACATTAGCCTCCTTGCTCTCCCTCGCACATGACACTCCATCTCCCATCTCTGTCCCCCATGACTAAAATGCTTTTTTTCCTCACTTCTATCACTTAGCTTCATTGGTTTTCTTAAACATTCAGTTCAAATCTCTCCCTCTGAAAGAGACCTTTCCAAGCCCATCTCTCTGCCTCGCCCCACCCCACCCCCACTGGCGCCTTCCCCTTGGAGATTCTATTTTATAAATCTTGTGCATGCCCATTTCTTCATAGACCATCTCCTCCATTACAATGTAAGCTCTTTGTGGTCAGGTACTACAAGTACAAGACGTGGGTGGGTTGGGGCAGATAGAAATTTGTGTGGAAAAAGTCCTTGGAATGTTAATAAAATTGTAAACTCAATATAGATCAACAGCATAACCTGACTGCCACAAAAGCTAATCTACTTTTAGGTGGTTTTTGCATAGTGCTTGAATCACAGGTGAACGTCTCACTCTATTCTGACTGTGTCAGACCATACATGGAAAACCGTGTCTACTTTTGGCATCACATTTTAAGAGGAGCATTGGCAGATTAGATGGAATTCGTCTACTGGCTGGCAGATGGTATAATGAGAAAACTCAAAGCAAAGTAATATGAGGATAGGAGCCAAATCCATCGAATCTGGAGAAAAGGAGGCTTGAGTGAGAAGTAACAATTTCAAATATTTGAAGAGCTGGCCGTTAGAAAAGAGAGTAGACTTATTTTGCATAGCCTCAGAAGAAGACATGACAACAGTGAATTTTGGCTCAATAGAAGGAAAACTTTAACAATTAGAGCTTTCTGAAAAAAGGAATGGCCTGATGTGTAAGGTAGTAAGTTCTCTGTCACTGGAGGTATTCAAATATTGGGGAAGCAACTCCTGTCTCTTGGAACTCTTTGTTGTTGTTCAGTCATTTCAGCCATGTCTGGCTCCTTGTGACCCCAATTTAGGGTTCTCTTGGCAAAGATACTAAAGTGGTTCACCATTTCCTACTCCAGCTCATTTTCTAGATGAAGAACTGAGGCAAACAGGGTTAAGTGACTTGCCCAAGGTCACACAATTAGTAAGTGTCTGAGGCTGGATTAAAACTCATGAGGAGAGGCTTCCTGAGTCTAAGCCCAGTGTTCTATCTACTGCTCCACCTAGCTGTCATTTTGAACTTTATCAAATCTTTATTAACGCTGGTGCCTTTCACCTCTGCTGATTATTTCCAATTTATCCTGTCTATGTCTTGTTTGCATGTTGTCTACCTATTGTGATCTCCTTGAGAACAGATTCTATTTTGTGCCTTTCTTAGTATTTGGAGCACTTAGCACAGTGCCTGGAACATAGGAGGGACGTAATAAATACTCGTTGAGGGTACAGCCAAGATGGCAGAG